TGTTACATTCAAGGATTATGTCAATACTTGTAACAAGCTACAAAACATGTTTGTTTCTAAACAGGTAGACTATATGACCTTTGACACCAACTTTACACAGGAGACAATGTCTGGAGACCAATGTCTTGAAAATTATACATGCTAATCACATCAAAATTGAACTTAGTGGACATTTTACTATATTGATAAGATTCCAAGTTTGAAGATGACCAGATAACAATTGTGTTGAAGTTATTGTGACCACAAGAAAATTTGAAGCGAAATATTACAAATACTGTAAAATGACTAATTTTCACTGGGTTTAAATTTCACTGATTTACCATTTCAGGCATATTCAGTGGGTTTCATTTAGATAATGTGTTCTATGCTAAATTTTACATATTCACTGGGTTTTAATTTAGCGCATTTTCCAGTCAGCGAAATAAGCTAAATTAAAACCCAGTGAATAATTACCCCCTTTACAGTATATTGAAAAATATACATACATGTACATGTACGACACATGACAAAATTGAACCTGGCCAATAACCAAACTGATTATTAAAATATCCAAGATTGGAAAAGATCAGATACAAACTAAGTAACCATGTAATAACCATGTAAGTAAATATTATGCATAACAAAAAAATGAACTGACTTTATAGTAACTGAGTTGAATACACTTACTTGCTGCAGTTTCACAGAAATAAGAAACTTCGAGATATTTTTCAGTTTCTGGACAAGGATCACCGCCAAATACACCAGTATTAACCGGTATCCTGCACTCATCTTTACCGTTACATCTGAGAAATGAAAGAATATTCTCATTAGGAAAAAAACATTTTGCTGAAATTGTACATAAGAAATACAAACAAAGCCCATACCGTAATTTTCGTATTGATTTCAAAAATAAAATTAACTGATAAAGTTGCTAATAAAGTTCATTAACAAATTTCACTGCTTGAACTGAATAATTTGAAGTAACCAAGATTTTTTGTATCAGAATGTGCTGCAGATAAAATCAAAGTGCATGCAAATTATACTTGCTCTATTGGAAGCACATCCCAAAACGTAATATATTTACCTTTCAGACACAATTTGAAATGAGTTTTCAGCAGAACAATTTGTGTTTGTAGTGTCCAGTCTGCTGGGACATAGTTGAGTATCAGTTCGTCCATAATTAGCTGATTCTATGCGTAATATTTCACCATCACCAAAACAAATCAACTGCATTTGTTTGTTATCACAGACTGATGTATATAGGGCAGATACCTGTCTCTGCCATCTTTTGAAAATTGGACTTGCTGCAAGTACATGTAAAAAAAAATGAAACATTTATTAAAACATTGCATACCATGCTTTAATTTTTCATATGAATATAGTGTTTTAGTAAATATTCTAACTAAATATTCTATATTTGCTGATTAGGTTTTTGATCAAACGTAGCATTGACAGGCCCGGGTATATGACCAAAAACAAAAGATGAAGATTCAACGTCAAAACAATAATATGTGCATGACTATTTTCTCATCAGTTTAAATAGATGCAGCATTATCCAAAATAGAAAATGATAGAAAAATACCGAATAGTTTTAGGACATAAATCTGCTCATCATCCGGAAGACTGCATTTATAACTGGGGTAATATATGTAATAAAGTTATGCAAGTTTTTACTGCAGTTCAAATATACATAATTTTATGTTGCCTAAAATCTTAATCAAAATTGTTGGAAAAAAATAGAAATAATTTTGTAATAATTTTTGGTGCTCATAAAAGTTAATGTAATTCTTCATAATTTCACTAATACTGACTAAGATTCAGAAATGAAAATGTGACTTTTACCACTTACCTAAGGAGTCTGATATAATACATAATAAAACTACAATGTAAATATTCATATTGCTTTTAAGTAACTTCATCTTCTTCCTGTGTCAATATTCAGTCATAATCTGCAAAATTAGCATAAAATGGATATGATAAATAAATGAAAAAAGCCTGTATGATGTATGTATGGTTTTTTTAAACTCGTGAAAACTAAGGGTATTGTAAATAGCCGAGGTATATGGGAATCAATCAAATGCATGCTAGATATTAAACACAAAAATCAAAGTGTTTCTTGAAGTCTTTTGTATTTAAATACAGATCAACCCGAGGTTCAAAGTCGCCACTTATCCCCCTCGGGGATCAAACAACGGCCCGGGATCATTAATTTTTAGAGGAAACATTTTTTTTACTGCTTAAAATGGTGAGTTTTTGATATTTGGGCCTATTAAAAAAAAAAAAAATGCGACCCGATATTTCTTATTTTTCGGTTGACCACTGAGGGCAACAAAACAATTTTTTAGGGGGGATTTATGTATGAAAAGCCTGCACAATTCAGTCACATGAATTGTGAGATTGTGATTTCTCAACTACCAACTCATTTTGCCACATTTTGTCACAAAACCATTAGATTTCATACAAAGCAAACAGCAACATCATTGTTACAAGATATCTTACTATTAAAATAGAACTGACATAATCAAAGAAAGCTGTAAAACACCTAATAGTGATCAAGTGAAGGTGAGGTGAGGAGCCAGAGTGTGGAGCTGTTTTAGAAATTTTCGAGCTCAACTGCATTAAATTTCTGTGATTTTAATTCATAATAAAACAAGCAGCGTCATGGTCAAAATAACTCCACTGTCTCAGTCGAGTGACTTCCTTAAAACAAAGTTGATAATGTTCTGTACAATTTGCCATGGTTATTTTTACCACAATATTCTCGTCATATCACAACCACGGTAGTTTATACTAGTATATTGGTATTTGTTGGTATGGCAATTACAATTGTTACAAATCCAAATGAAGTCCAAACATGGTACATACACACAACATGTACCAAGTATCAAAGCAATTGAGCTAGTAGTTTTTAAGAAGAAGTCGAAAACAAATATTCACCTAAAATAAAGAATTGAAAAAAAAATGAAATAAACAAACCTCACAGAGTATCAAGTAACTGAGCTGGTAATTTTTAAGAATGGAGTTTAAAATGAATTGTAGACAGATGATGAATGAATGACTGATAGACAACACTCAAAATGTCAAACACTCCCAATGACTGAAAAAACTTATTTGTAATATCTCAAAGTTGAAGTAGTTTATGAATGAGACAGTGTTAGTCTATGGTAAACATTGGCACCACCCACTCTGTATAGACCAATACACCCCCAAAGTTTTGTCTCATAATTTAGTCAGAGGACAGACCGCCCTGCTTTCAATAAGACATTTGGTTTGAGAGACTGGTTTGCATGTGCTCTTTTAATTAACACTAAGAACACACACAAATATCAGATGAAACAGCTGTGACTTTGACGTCTGGAAAAATAAAAAATAAATCATTGTCAATGACAAGGACCCATCCAGTTTTTAGTGACTGTCGACATTAGTGCCAAATAATTATTTATACTCATTTGACAGACATGATATAAAGTGGAACCAGTTTATTTGTGTGATTCCTTTCTTTATTCTGTCCGTTACATTCATAACACATTTCTAGCATGAAAAAATGATGATTGTGCATCTTGAATCAGATTGCGCAAATGTGTAATACATGATGTATATGTAAAGCTTGAATATGATCAGTCTAGCAATGTTAGCAATATATGGCTCTAAAAACAGCATTCATTAAAACAAAATGGCCATCAGTCAGCTTTTTCGAATCAAATATATCCACACTCGACTGCGATCTAGTTCCGGAATGGCAGAAATGCTTGATTTGATGAATTTTTAGCACTAAAATGGCCGCTATTTGGCCATCTTGGATCATGAAACAAATGCTTGTGAATGAAATTAGCCCAGGCATGTCTGAGATACAGGTGCAGATGGATATACAGATGTACTACATCTGAATGGAGACTAAAATACAAGAAAACAGTTGACTGAACTGTTCCATTACATACTAAGAATGGAAAGTGCACCATCAAAATTTATTAGCAAGATATCGCATAGAATGTTTAATAATCATATGACAAGAAAAAGTGAAAATAGACATTATTGCAGTGAGTGATCTGACCTGTCCCTCTGCCTACAGTTGACAACCCCCTTATATTGAGTGGTATAATCCCTAAGCAGATCATGCTACACATTTCAACAAACCATTTTCCACTACCTTGTGAATGTACCTCGTATATGACTCTACCTCAAGTATACATGTAATCTTGTATTATTAATCCTTATTAATCCACTAATCCACTGCATAATATATAATCCGTGGTAACTGTATGTACCATTACACAGAACATTATAAAATTCGGCTAAAATGCCAACAATCTCAAATTACAGAAAAATTACAGTGTAACTAAATATTATAATAGTGTATTCTATAACATTTGAATTATCACCATGGTTACTGTAGTCCTGCAGTCAGTAATTTGATAACAATGTGAAAATCACACAACAGACTGACATGCAGATAGAAACCAAATACATATGTATTACAGACTCATAGATGACAGCATTAAAACCAGGGAACAGGGGCACAGCGCCCTCATGCCATGGCGATGCACCCCCTACTTACCCTGGGTAGCAGATCCTCTGGCAACTATAAAATTCTGATTGACCAGGGATCACATGTGACCACAGTCTTCAACTGTGACCTGTCTGATAGTAATTTTGGCCCCAAGAAGGCCATAGAATATGCTCCATTTTAACTTAGAATTATGAAAAACTCCACACCCTGGTAGGGAGAACCCTATCTCCCCCACTTGGTGGCGCCGCTGAATTACAGTGCTCACTCTTGCAGTTTTTTTCTGGAAAAACCCCTGATAATGTTTAGTTAACAATTACCAACACAGGATTCCGAAACTAAATTAAAATAATTTATACACTGGGAAGTAATTAACAGCACATGTAGCCAATCAGTGAAGGCGCTACAGTAAGTGATTTCACTGTATACAAGGCACTTTTTGAAATTATTTTTAAAAAAACATTTCAAAAATCAAAAATCATTTTCTATACATTTTATAGTTTAAAAAAATATTTAACATTTGTATTAACTGTTTGCATGAATGGATCAATGTGATCTATATATTTTGCATATACCCAGTATTATTAGGAGTCATTTATCACTAAAGAGTAGAAGCGATATTTGAAGAACCATCACAGACACTGGAATGTGCAAATACTGGTGAATATTTTAGTTAGTACTCTTGTTTCAACCTTTTCACCACCAGACTTTCTCATCCAAAATTTTCAATATAAATATTTGGCTATTTTTGTCACAATCTTCTGAAGGAAAGTGCAGATTATAAACGGGATTATTTTATGAATTTGTGATGAAAAGAAGGAACTGGTGGTGAAACAGTAAAAGAAAATATTCTCTTTAAATAGTCACTATAAGACGTTATATTCAAGGGTTATGTAAATACTTGTGACAAGCTACAAAACATGTTTGTCCCTAAACAGGTAGACCATGACTTTTGACACTAATTTGCACTAGGAAATGTCTAGAGTTTCAATATCAGCCACAATGTATCAATGATACACATTTTCAATATTTTACAAAGAATTTGTAAATTTTTAATGGTAACATAAATGCCTATACAATACACAACAAACTAAACTGGTGTGGTAAAATATCTGCCTAAAATATTCCTGCTGACCTTAAGTAAAATCTACAAATATTGAACAATCTTTCTTTTAAATATGAACAATTTCACAACTAAATTGTTTTTTTATTGCAGATTTTGTCAGAGATATGGATCCACAAATGCATTCATTCAAACGGAAATGGCCACAAGTCGGCCATTTTTAATATAATTCGCAAAATAAAATAACATGCATCATAATGTCCAATGGATATACCAAGTTTGAACAAAATCTTCTTATATACGTCTGAGATCCAGATCTAACATTGCAGAAATGCTTTATTTTTGCTGAATTTTCAACATTAAAATGGTCACCATTCAGCCATCTTGCATCTGATTATCAAACAAATACCTCTGCATATGATGTATACATAAACTTCAAACATGATTGATCAAGGCATTCTAGAAATATAACCACATTCATTATTAAAAACAAACAGGCCACCAGATGACCATTTTATATCTGGGCTGAAAAACAAATTGATGAGCATCTAGATCCAAGTTGGAATGAAAATCTGGTTCCAGGATTGATGAATTTTTAGCACAAAAATGATGACATTCAGCCATCTTGAATAGGATCATGAAACAAATGAATGTGTATATATCACAGATGTGAACTTTAAATGTGATTGGTCCAGGCATATCTAAAATTCAAGTTCAGTCAGAGGTAAAACCTTTTCAAACAGTGTAAGTATATTATTACAGTATGTTTGGTTAAACTTGTTTGTTTTTTTAAATATATTTTTGCATTCCTGGACATTGAAATTGGTGCTCTCCTGATGTTTTCTGTTTTTAATACATCCATATATTTAGTCTTCCAAACTTAATCCTAGTTAACAGTAGTAATGTTTTAAAGGAAGCTAAGGTAGACTTTGATTTTAATATGCTGTTGAGTGAGCAGGTAACTCCAGGAATCAAACACACTTGCTACTTGATGTGATACAAACATACATTTGGGTTAAATCTTATTTTAAAATTAGAGTAAACAGAAAATGAAAAAACATGTACACATTTTCTGTCACTTTTTCCCCAGAGAAGAAATACTAAAAAACTATTATAAATGTACACTAGGGAGGTTGTCAACAGTGAAATTGTTTACAAAAATGGCATTTTAGATGTAAATATGACACCAGTCTGCTATGCTGGTAATAAAATAAACACGGTAAATTAAATACTGCATTAAGCCCTATAGCAGAAACTGGTTGGCTGCAGGTCTTGGGTATCACTAATGCTTTATTTCTTTAAACAAGGCTTTCACTGTGATGCATGCTGTT